GTCAGCTTCCAGAACTTGCCTTTTTTAAATGTAGGATAAGCACTTATCTGTAGTGTGTGAAAAACCTCATCTGGAACTATTGAAAAATGTTAACATTGCCTATGTTTCACTATGTCTTGCTCTAGTTTTCTCTTATTTTTTTTCAAGTCTTTGTTTAAAAAAAAAAAGCCATTCCGTGCATACCTGAGGATTTCAGAACTGTTTAATTAAATTTACTTTCTGTGTAGCTAATTGGTTAAGTTTCAGTACAACGCAGGCTGTAGATTTGCTTTTGGTGTTGTGTGTGCTGGGGAAGCAGGCAGGGCCACTAAATTAGTGTAAAATTTGGTATGTCTTCATTTGGATATTATTAAACAGGTGAACTAACTCTCTTTTTCCAGAGGTGCCATATATGCATGTTATGTGTGTCAGGTAGATGTCTTAATTTTAGGCATCTCTGATTTTAGCACAATTCAAACTCAATTACGTGAGCTGTTAGTCATGATAGTTGAGATCTATCCATTTACAAAAATACGTCAACGATTCTCTCTTGAACTTTGTCTGTGCTAGGATTTTAAGTAAAATTGCTCATACTGTAATGCTTAAATGTCAAAGTTCATGGTTTGAGTTTTAAGAATTCCTATGGAGAAGGTTCCATATGTGATGGATATATCAGACATGATTAGCAGTAATGGCTTTCAAGACTCTTTTGCCAAGTTAAATATTGATCACAGTTTCACTAGTCTTAAATATTGAGAGGAAGTGGGCGTTGTGGCACCTTCCACATTTGATGCCCATGTCAGTTATGGTTGGTTTGAAAACAGCTACAGAACAGCGTTATTTACACTCTATTCTCATCCTCTCCCCAGATGCTGGCAATTGGTGCTAGTGGTTGTGCCGACAAAGCACAAATTTCTTGGGTGGGAAAAAATGTTAACCATTCAAAAAGATGTAAATACTTGATTTAAGAATGAATCAGCTTGTTACATGATGTATCCAGTGGGCTAACATAGGCTCTCTCTTGTTTGATATTGTGTCTGTAAGACACAGCACAGGTACTGGAAATGTGGTTTCAATGTGGTGACTTTCAGCTCTCTGGAACGCAATCATAAATGAATGTTCAGTGCTTTGATTTGCTGTTGTCTCTCTTTAGAGAAATACAGAAATATGCATCTTAGCATATTCATGTCCGTACAACAGAATCTTCCCAGCGTCCCCCAAAGGCTTACAATACTTCAGCTCATGTTATAGGTATTTCTGTAATGAGATACAAACTTTTGAAATTAATAACTGTGATGTTGGGATGTAGTGAAAGTTAAAATTTGGCATTATGCTCCTACAGCTAAAATATGTATCTTTGAAGTTTTTAATAGTTTCAGAATGGTTCTTTTCTGTAGTATGACTTCATTCTTAATGTTTGAGCAGTGCTTTGAAGATTTGAAGATTAGAAGCACTGCTGAACTGCACGCTGCTTTTTTTTTTTTTTGTTAATTGAGGATTAATGGCCATTAAAATCTGACAAGTGGCTACTCCAAGTGATTAAATTGCTTTGATATTTTGAACACTGAATTTACAAGTCTGGGGGACTCTTGAGATTTATTTAGGGGTTATTTGTCTATCCTTTTCTAAAGAGTCTTTGTGTACCTGAATATTTCTTACATATTGACTGTATTTACTAAATCAATCTGCGTATCATTATTGACTTGTGTGTCCAGAGGTATCAGAATTTAGAAATCTGACTTTTTTTTTAACAGTAAGTCAAATTACTTGATACATTTTCTACTTGAGTACATAGCCTTTCCTGGTTGACCAGCTGCATTACTTAAATAACAGTTGACATGTGGTTTGGTTACTGTTCATTTCACAACACAGTGGTGTAGCAGTGAAGGGTCTAAGGGTACTTAAAAACAATGATAGTTTGTACAAAGAGGCAATATCTCTTCGTAGATGAATAGGAAGATGGGAATTGTAGATAGTGTTTGGAAAGTGAATCAGCATTGGATGAAAGATGGGTTATACTGGTGTTCATTTAGATTTCTTTGGGATATTTTTTTCTGTGTCATTTGGAAAAATTGATTTGTATTTCTCAGTGTGTTGTGTTACTTGCATTATTTATGTTAACACTTCTTACATTTATTTTCAGGCCAATAAAACTATTCTGATTCTGTTCTGATGCTTCATAAACATAACATCTTTTCTGGGAAATGTCTAGATACAAGTTAGAGGTGTTTTTTTTTTTTTTTGGTGTCTGTGGTTTACTCAATATGAAGTATTGGTTTGCACAGTCAAATCAGGAAATGTCGTGGCATTGTTGTTTGTATAGTGATCAGCTCTTTCTGCTGTATCTAGACTAGCAAACAAATGGAAATGACATTTTTAATGTTTGAAACTGGTCTTGTTATCACTAGAGAAATAGTTCTACTTCACACTTGTAGGTCTATTTATAGTACTGAAACACAAGTTCCAGTGCATGTTTCCCTCTTGGTCATATGGTAGTATTTTGATGGCAGGTTTTTCAATCCAAGTTTTAAGAGCCTGCTATACTAAAGACTTCTGTCTTATGTGCTAAATAAAACTCTCCAGAACAAAGAACAAAATGAAAACAAGAATCATGTGTCATTGGATGCATTTCTCAACTTGTTCATTTATCTTTTTATAAATTATTTTGGTAGCTAATGAGCTTTCCAGCGCAGTCATAAACCTGAACTTCTGCAGCTTGCTAACGGGTGTGAAATTTAGAGTAGTGAGTTCATGACCTTCTCTGCCACCTTTCTCAGACTCGGTTAGAAAACAAGCTTGCAGGTAGGCCTAAACTGGGGTCTGTATCTCCCTGGATAATATCTGCTGTGGTCTTCAGGCTGGAGATTGAAAACTGCAGACTTGTGTAATAACTTCATTGTGTACTGGGGTGTTTGGTAACCATTTAAGAGTTTTGAACTCCTAGTTTTATCTCCTTGAAAAATCGGTGGTACTCTGTGACAGCCCATGCTCTTTTAATTTGCTGCTGCTTTCTGGGAGCAATTATCAGAAATGCTGTGATAAAATCGGCATCATATCACAAATGCTTCTAGAACGGACTCAACAGGCAAACAGGATTCACAGTAACAGGGACAGCCAATGTGCGTAGAAAACTCAAGAGCAAATGAGGAGAAAAATACTGGAAAAGGTGAAGGTTATAAGACTGTAAAGGTGTTGAGAACAGTTATGCTGTAGGCAGAGAGCATTCTGTAATCTGTCCAGTTAGTTATGGATTCCTTGACTGTGGAAGACAGAACTTATGGCAAATATATGATAAACCTTAACTTCACACTAAATGCAAGTTGAATATTATTTACATGCTGGCTCTGTGGTAGAAGGCATCCTTCTTCTACATCTAGGTGATCTCAAACTGGTGTTTGCTGTACTTCTTTCAGCGTTGTTAAATTCTACTTCACTGCCCACTGATCTTAATTTCCTTACTGTTTTCCCATGAAAGGAGATTTATATAGCCAAAGTATCTCTTCATCTCTCTGCTCTGTAGACCTCTTTTAACAAATTGGATAAAAAGGTATGGCTTCGAAGGACTTGAGGGACAGATGTGAATGTGTGTTGGGGTGAAAGTGTTACCTACCTGTGACTGGGAGGCTTCAGTGCGAGCATATCTGGATGCAAGAGAAAGCAGAAGTGAGTGGTATTGTGAATAAAGAAAGAATCAGAGGTAGTCCTGTTAGATACTTATATCCAACTTAGTTGGAAGAAGGTATTTATTTTCCATTCTCCTTCCACCTCACAAGCAGGCTGTATATGAAGCTCTTGTTTTCCCATTTTAGCCCAAGAAGGCAATGTGTTTGTAAAGAATTTCTTTTCTAGTCACCTTTTTCTTCCATTTACCCTATATTGTGGCACTTGAATTCATTAAGGGTGTTCTTAAAATTGTGACATAAAGTTCTACTAAACAGCCAAGGAGAAAGCTAGGGGCAAATATATGTTCCTTATGGCTAAATATGAGCTTAACTTTTTGCTTTTTTCCCCCTGTAGAATGTTCACTAAATACCAGTATTTGTACAAAATCTGTTCTTAGGGTGATTGAGCTGTAATTCATTGCACTAGTTTGTTTGCCAACAGACCTTAAAGTGGTATTGCTTTAAAGACAACATAGTCATCAGACATTTTGTGGTGTATTTTGCTTGGATGGATTAGGATTTAGTGAAATAAAACCCACTTGTGCTGGACAAAGTATAAGTTCTTTCAAGTCTGTGATTGTGGTTAGTTTCTTATCTTGTTCTGGTTCTTGTTGTTAAGCATAAAATTTTACTTAACTGTAAAGTGTTTCTGGCAAATGATTGACTATTTTTGAGTGGTTTTGTTCACACTGTTCCAATTTACAGTATCATCTCATGAGACTTCTTCATTGTGGAGTTCAGATTTAGGGAAGGAAGTGAAAATTATATTATTAAAAATATGAGTAATTTGTGCTCCTTTTTTTCTTTCTTTTATCATTCATTATTCTTAAATATCCTATGACACGTAGTTTATAAAATATAAATTATATTATCATCTGAAGTAAAATTGCAATGAGATATAATTTTGAAGGTTAATGCAACTGAAATTTGATGCATTTTGTGCCTTTATAAGAATTTCCTACCAGTTTCTGCATAGTTACTTCTAAGGTGTTTTGATAGTTTCGTGTGCAATGTTTCCCTCAGGAGGGAGGTTATTGCCCCTACAAGATAGCTTTTAACAGTTATAGCAACAAGGTAAAGTGAAAAAGATCAATATTTCATTTTAGAAGGGTGTTTCAGAAAATTGGTTTAGAACTGCATTTTGACTGTTCATTTAATGGTCTTTTTTATTCTCCTGCAATATTACGATGGCCTCCAGTTCTTCAACCTGGATTAAAATTGCTGGTATTTAAGCCAGTAGCTCACTCAGTTTGGAGGTCTAATTTACGCAACACTTCAACAATTCAAAAATTCCAAATATATAGTTTGAGGACAAAAAAACCAATAGCATAACATGATTTTCTTGTCTTTGTGTTCTAGGTTGTGTTAAAGATCATTAAACATTACCAAGAAGAAGGACAGGGGAATGAAGTGGTCCAGGGAGTGCTGCTGGGTCTTGTGGTGGACGACAGACTTGAAATTACGAATTGCTTCCCTTTTCCTCAGCATACAGAAGATGATGCAGACTTCGATGAAGGTAACGGTTACAGTTTTGCAAAACTTGAGGTAAAAAAAAAAAAAATCCAGATGTGCAAAAGACCAGAAGCTTGTATGTGATCAGAGAGTTTTTATTTGATTTGAGGTATCAATGGGTCACTCACAAGGCCATCCTGCATATCCAACTGAAATCTTGTCTATGTAAGGAAAGTTATAGGGATAAATACTGTATTATATGGACACACTTATTTTAGAGTAAGACTGTCCACACAGGAAATTACATAAGCTTCCAGTCTGTAATTCATATAGACTTCAAAGCTTTTTATGAAGATGGCTGTGTGTGTATTATGTGTATGTATCCGTACATGTACATATGCATATAGTCAGGCATATAGATTGCCTCTCTGTAGATGTATTTGTATGTGTTAAGTACTCATTGAAAGCCTGAAGAGCAGAGCTTTGTAAGTTTAAGAGGCACTGGTTAACTTGAAATCTGGGTGATATTTTTGCTTTTCCAAGTGAGCTAGAAGTGCATCGGTGGTTTCTGTCTGTCTTGGTTTTTCCTTGCTGGTCCTACTAATGTTTTATTATTGCCACTGTAAGCCAGTATAATTGGCTTGCCACAGAATGGTATAAAATCTATAAAGTAAACTTGAAAGGCTTAGAATTCTAATCTTGGTTATATACATGTATATGTGTGTGTGTTTAATGATACTAGTAGAAATGCTTCTTTGTTAGGGCTTAAAGAGAGACGGTTTAACTTCAAGAGTAACTAAAGAGGCAATATAGTCAAAGCAGTTGCAGTTGGAAGCTTCATTTATCTAATTTTGTAATTCAGTATGAGCAAGATTACTTAAAGTATAAACTGCTTTTTCTTGCTTATAATGAGGTTAGTTATTATTAAATTAATATTTTATCTTATTATAAAAGAATCTTAGACTCTGCCTTTAAAACGGGAATCACTTTAAGAATTCTTTGCAACTTGGTAAGGTTCCTTAGCTGCTTATTGCTTCTGTTGTGGGATTATACAATTTGCTATATGAAAAAAAAAAAAAAAAGGCAAAACACAGGGGAATCTTAATTGTCCTACATTAATATGGTGCTTGAGTCAGAACTATATTTTATTAAACCCTAAAAGATGTTTTAAAGATTCCTTCTCTTCTGGAGCTCTTCAAAGGACTGGAGTAATTTAAATTTTTACTTGGAGCTCATGCTTCAGTTATTCCTGTAGAAAATGGCTGAATTGTTTCCATGTAGCTGATAGGCAGACAAGGAGTGAAATAAATTTCTTAGTTTCTGAGATGGATTCATCTCACCATATGATGACTACCATGCTGAAGCTGCAAGCCTGTGATCTTGTATGCAAGGTTCAACTGTTTCTGTTTGGGAGAAACTTTATTCCAAGAAAGTGACTCTTGTCACCAGTCTTTCTTTTTGCCTTTTTAGCAAGTAGGCAATAATCGTGGCATTAAGTAAGGTGCAGAAGACAATGCTCGTGGAGGTTCTCTCACCTGGATGTCTTCACTTGTCAACCTGTTCCCATGCTGCAGGCACAGAAAGAAGAGCAAACTCTAGCCAGAGTGGAAAGTGAACCTATCACAGTGATGCTGATGCAGGGAAAGGGAATTTGCAGCCAGGTCAGGGGAGCTTGCCTGTGCTGAATCATAGAATCATTTAGGTTGGAAAAGACCTTTAAGATCATCAAGTCCAACCATTAACCTAGCACTGCCAAGTCCACCACTAAACCATGTCCCTAAGCACCACGTCTACACATCTTTTAAACACCTCCAGGGATGGGGACTCAACCACTTCCCTGGGCAGCCTGTTCCACTGCCTGACGACCCTTTTGGTGAATAAATGTTTCCTAATATCCAATCTAAACCTCCCCTGGCGCAACTTGAGGCCATTTCCTCTCATCCTATTGCTTGTTACTTGGGAGAAGAGACTGACACCCACCTTGCTACAACCTCCTGTCAGGTAGTTGAACCCTATTAGCCAACCTCAAGAGCCATTTTGTATTGGTTTTCATCTTCCCTAGCCTCTACCGTGTGGGTGACAGAGAGGTTCTCTCTGTATTCTTCTCAGTGAAATACAGTTAAATAGACTGAACCATTCAGGAAACGCAGAGTGCTCATGTTCATTCTGCATACCCTTTACTTAGGGCCTGTTCAGCCCTTTGACCTATGTGGTAGAGGCTAGTGAAGATGAAAACCCAAACAAAATGGCTCTTGAGGTTGCCAGCTGAGCATTAGGTACCTTTTAGGCTCTACGTAGAGTTGTCTTCTGTCTTGCCAATGTGAAAAACAGTAATGTTTTGTAAATACTCCTTGTTTGTTTTCCCTGGAGCTATGTTTCCCTATGCAAGCATCCTGCCAGATTTTCAAAAGATTCTTTTTTCTTCTAGATACAGATACTCCAGCAGAGAAATATCTTGCTATATGCCAGAACCTTAAATTCAGGATGCTAAAAACTAAACAGGGCACCTCCCTCCCCCTAAGACTTGTATGTTACATCAGTATTATAACTGGCTTTATATATTTGCACAAATTCAGGCCCAGAGATAAGGAAGGAAAGAATAAGGGTCTTGGGACTTCAGTTCCTCCATCACCCAGAATGATACTTAATGTTGTTCTCTTTGGTCAGAATAACATTGTATTGTCTTTTCTTCTTGCTTAGGGGGTGTGGGTGTGTGTGTATATATATATTTTTTATTTATTTTTTTTTTTACCCAAGGGTAAATTTAAGGTTCTGGAATAGGAACAATCCTATGGAGATTCCAAGCTTCTGGGCCTGCAGAAAGCATTTCTTGGTGGACTTTGGTCATACTTGATCTTGTGTTAATGCAGGGACTGTTGCACTGGCTGAAGGGCCACACTACCCCAGCTGCCCTTCTCCTGAGGGGAGGAGATGGGGAGCAACCATGTTATCTGTTGGCAAACTCCTAGTCTGCTATGCTGAAAATTGAATGAATACACCCAAAAAATAATTTCTCCTGTATCATTTTGCAGGAGCTTGAGGAACAGGTCACCTGAAAAATACTCATTTGCCTTGCGGTCTCAAGGTGATTGTTGTTAAGAGAATTAAGCTTGATACTTGAGCAAACAAACTGTTGGATAATTGGCAAGAGACATTTAAGCTAATGTTTTCCTTTTTTTAAATTGAGCAAATCTAATATAAAACACATTTTTGAGGGTGCTAAGAAAATATCCTTAATTTGAACTTGAAATAGGTATGCATGACACTTAAGAATTAATTTGATAAAGACGTATTTCTAACTTGTTAGCAACACTATTTCTTCAGATATGCTTTTGACATGGTGCCATTTTGTCTCTTGCTGCCAATGCCTGACATTATTAAGCTTTGACTATTTGCTGCAACAGAATTCCTTCAAAAATGAAATTTTTCATTTTAAAAAAAATACCCAAACTTGTTCTTTTAGTGCAAGAACACTTTTTAGTGCAGTTTGAATTGGGCTATTTCTAGAAACTACAGAAAACATGAGAGGTTTTTTTAGATTCAAGTAATTCTTATTATAAATCTGGGAGGATTGTCTACCATTTATGAATCCACAGGTGTTTTTCATCTTGGAAAGTTTCTCCTACAGTGTCGTCTTCCTACGATTCTTTTTACAAAGTGTAATTTTTTTTTTTGTAGTAAGATTTTCCTGTCAGGGAAGTCTTAAACACCTAGGTTGGCCTGCTGTAGCACAAGATTTTTGGAGGGGGCGGGAGGGTTTAACTCACCTCTGTGTTAGAAATCTGTAGGTGAAGTTTAGTTGATGATGTGTGAGCTAATGGAGGAAAACTGCAGAACAGGGGTATGTTGTTGAGTCTGCAGCAAAAGATGCTTCAACACAAATGTTTGATATTTTGGGGCTGCACTCTGGACTTTTGGGCAGGCCTTTACTTTTCAGATAACTCTGTTTCCTTGTTACTAGGGCACTTAAATCCTCATAGGTATTGAATTTATTTCTCAAAACACAGATCTTAAAATTCAGGAAGATACTTTCAGTTATCTACACGTACAACCCCTGTTCCCGTGTGCTCCACCCCCCCGGCCCCATCCTCCACCCGATGGATTCAACTCTTGTTTAGGGAAAATCAGATTTCTGCTGTAAGGATTTTTGGCTTAGGCGCTTCTGTGCAATGATGCAGTACCCTAGCTTGTCTTTGTGAGGATAGTTTTCTAGGAATTACTTTCACTTTAGGGCACTTCCGAGCTTTTGTCTGAGCATAGTTTTGCTTTCTTTCAGTTAAGGTTTACTAAAAAGGTGTAATGCATGAGGTGTATTTTCTTCCTAAGAAATAAATGTATTACTCTTGACTATAAATTGTGTCTGTAAGCGACATGTTGAGTTCAGTCCTTTGCACTTTATTGTTTTATCTTCAGTGTATTCATTAAGTAGCTCTTCTCCCTGTTTAAAGGAAATTTGTATTCCTTTCATGGAAAGGAACAGTTAAAAATGTAGTATACATCTTGTAATTCATTATAGATCTTGTGAGACATTATTTTGATAAGTTATTTTGAAACAGATTTTATTTCAACCTGATATATTTTAGTATCTTACTTACAAAGCTGAGATAATAAATTAAGTGCTGTGGTAATTATGCCAATAGAAACTTCAAGACAGTTATATAATTATACATCAAAATCATTTCTAGAAGGTTGTAACTTTTTCTTCTTTTATAACTATGCAGAGTTTTCATTAGATTCCCTCTGAAAGGCTTCAGATGAAAAGGTGATGCTGCCTTTTCTTCCCCCCTGCCCCCGACATGATTTTTACTTTCTTACCTGAGAAGGTTAATTTTGTTTTTCAATTTTCAGGTTAGAAGTATCTAGATGATTAAAGATTCTAATACCTGTATGCTTCTGTGCTGTAGGTTGTTAGATAGTTGTATCATCAGTCAGTAACAACTAGAAATAATATAGTGTAACATTCCCACCATTTTCTGTGGTTGTAGCTTCTATTTTGCCTCAAATGAATGCAGCGGCATATGGAGAAACATGGCATAGCTCCTATATAGTACTTTTTCAGGGTTT